TTAATTACCAAAGGGAATAAGTCACCATTTTTTCAATATGACAATTTTGATGCACTAAGGTTCGTTTAAAGGAGCTCTGTTGAACTGCATCGAATTTACTATATCGAAAAAATGCTAACTTTTTCCCTTTGGTAATTAACCTATTCTTATCGTCGTATGTAATGAACAATTTCCCAGGATATGTTTTAGGATATGTACGTACATACGTAAAAACCCTTTTAAACGCTTTAGAAGCAACTTTTTTGTTAGTTTTGGTTTAAGCAGTGTTTGCATTGTTCAACTTTCCCAGGCGATTATTTGAATCAAAAGTTGAACGAAAGTTGACTTCATTGAAAGCGATTTGTTGAAAGGCCGAAAAATTGAACAATGCAAACGCTGCTTTACTGATACTTCGGCACAAGAAATCAACTTGAAATCTATGGACAGTTAACCCAGGGCTCGAATAGTAACATGGGTTCACGTGGGTCTTAATCCGCAAAATGTGTTTTTACGTGACGAGTAGTTCGATATCGTCTGTGACGATTCGAGCACAGATTATCTTTTCCAGCGTATCGAGTTTCATATGCATGCACTTACAAGTACATAGATATAATAATCTTTTAGCATGCAACAGTTGTTCTTATTAAATTTTGTTTGAAATTAATATTGCGCGAGCTTTAGCCGCTGAAATAGAATGTCCTTAACAGTGTGGTGCCCACCTACCATAAAGATTATCATATAACTCGACAAGTACATGTGTCGCGCTTACACTACATAAATTATTCATCTATCGCAAGTGTTGTGTCAATAAATTTATTGCATATCTCTACTTGAATGCTTAGGCAAGCCATGGGCGGCGATGAAAATTGTTAACTCGCAACGAAACAAATTACATAGTAGCATATTATCGCCAGTGTCCTTTTTACCTGATTGTATGGCAAAGAAAGTTTGAAAGGTTAAGTGGGAGTGCTTTGAAAAGAGGTACACCTAGTCAAGTATTTTGCCGAACCGGTAGGGAAAAAGGTGTTACGTCTGTGGGGCTGGCTGCTATCCCCTTTGTCGTGCCTGTAGCAATCTCTCTCGTCTCTGAGGGTCTTCTTCTTCTGGTTTGGCGCTATAACCGCATATATGATCATGGCCGAGTCCTGTGATGCTTTGATGAATTTTTGATGGTTTGTCTTTCTTTTCCTCTACCAAAGCATTTTTTAGAGACGGCAAAACTATCCCTTTTATTTCTCAACTCCTCAATAAACCAGGGTGTAACTTAGCTTGTTTTTGGAGTCACTTCTAGAAACCTTGACTCAGGTGTCTGAGTAAATTCAACATGCGACTCATATGTTCAACTATTAATTCATTCACGGAAGGCAAACCCCATTACTACTCTCATTTAGCTACGCCCCATATGTAGATATCATTAGCAATTCAATTATCCGGAAGTGCAGCATTGCGAGCTCAAAAGGCTTACTGTTATAAAATACACTCGTAGTATCTATAGGAAACCTCAGTAGAAAAGACAAAATGCTTCGCGAACGTTTACTACGCATCGTAGGGACCATTTCTTATTACAACTCACTTCTGGTTGGCCTGCTGCCAGCGCCGCTGGACCGCCGACAACAAGAATTCCGTTCTACGCGCATTTACCTGACATATAGTGCCTTTGTACATCTCTTTAGTGTAATCGCCACCACAGTCGGTTGCGTTTACTTCTTCAATCTTGGTTTTATGACTACGCATTTGGTATTGCAGTGGACCTATGGTTTAACATATTTGGCGAAAATTCTCTTCATTATAGTACTGGTCAAAGAGATTTGGTGCAAACGACGTTGTGTTATGAAAGCATACACGGATTATTGTTTGCTGGAAGCGCGACACAAAGCCTTATTAAAGAAAAATCAGTACGTGATGCCTGACGGAAATCCTACAAGGAATGGCGCAGTAAGCGAGCACGGGAAAATACAAAGCATCATCAGAGATTGTGAAGCTGCGAAGAAAAGTGAAACACGCAAGACGTCCCTAGAATGCCGTATTGCCGATCTCATCATTTGCAAATACCTTCTGGGCTACGGCATTGTCGTTATGAATGCATATAATTTCGTCCACCGGCAATCAAGCAGCGATTCGGTTTATCTCACGATCACATTTATTGCAGTAGCGATGAATATTTTTATGCTATCTGCCTTAGGTCATTTCTTTTATGTGCTCTGCCAGCTATATCGACAATTTTCTGAAATAAACCAACAGCTACAGATATTAAACGAGCAACTATACCTGCATAAAATGCGGATTGAAGATAACGCGGAAATGATCGCCTGTCGCATTAATTCATTGACCTCGCTGCACGTCGATGGCTACCGTTTGGCGCAGCGTATTTTCACAATTGCCGAACAGATTTTGACTGCCTTGTTGTTACGCCTATTTGCGGCGAATATGCGAACGGTTTATAATGTTTGCCTCTTTGTCAACCAAAATATGACGCAGAACTTGTGGTCCCTAACCAAAGAGCTGCTTTTCACTATAGTGTTCTTCTGTGATACGGGAATGATGATGTTCGTGCTAGATGCAGCGCTTAGGGAATGCAACGATACGGGGCAGGTGTTGAAAGAATTTTCTGAACTAGTGGAGATACACGAAATCGACTGCGTGAGAAGAGCGGTAAGTAGTTTTGCTTAATTTACTCTCCACATTTCTGATGAGAAGGTCAATGTTAAACTAGATTAAGCTAATTTATATTTTACCTTGTAAAATCTACAGTAGTCTCTACTTTAACCGTGTAGGCGAGTTGAAAGTTTTCTGATTAGATAGGACGTCAAATATGACTTTATATAGGGAATGGATGGTACCGCTATCTCATTCGTAGGGTAATATATCCGCTTACCGATCCCAGGCAAGTACATTGGCCTCATTGTCAGTAAGTCGCAAGACTAAATTGCACTACTCGACAACATTGGCATTGCCTACAGTCGTGCTAAAATAAGTAGACGATCAAAATCATCTAAAACTATTCAGTGCTGCTAAATTTTTCGGTTTTAATATACTAGTCGAGTCGAAATTGTAGGCAATGTCTTGTAGTTTTCGATGCGACTCGACGTCGTGTAGCGTTTACATTAAAAACACACGTTCGTAGAAATTCGGATTCAGTGATCGCATTTTCGTAGATTTTACGAAAGAGCGGACTGCTTACGATGGATTCCGTGATAGCCCCTTTGACGTAGGGATTCTACCAGAGTAAAGTGGCTTTTATCTGGCTAATGTTTGTCATCGAAAATTTGTTTATTTAAGGACCTTTTCCATTTTTGAAATCTGCCTAACCTTTTTTTAATCGCCGGACTGCTTCTTATAAGTACAGTTTCCCAAATTAATATTCTACGTTTCTATTTTCCAGCTGGACACATTTTCAGCACATTTGCGCGCCCATAAACTTCGTTACATGGTTTGTGGACTCTTCGAATTTAACAGAGAAGCATCGTTGCAGTTCTTTTTAATGGTATTGGTAAAAGTAACGGTACTTGTTCAATTCGATATGCAAAATAAATTGAGGGCGGGAAAAACATACATAATTTAAATAAAGAACATCATAAACGAATAATAAAGTAAAGACTTATAATTTAGTAATGATTACAAGGTAAAGTAATTTTAGAGATTTAACGTGTCGCCTAGCCTTTAGCGAAATCCAGTGGCCTCGAAGAGCGTAATAATCCCAGCTAGGTAGTAAATGCAGGTATAGTCTCTCGAATAAATTTTTGGGCCAGTTGGAAAGACTGCTGCGAGTTCTGATGAACTTTCTTTTTCTTGGCGATCGTCTGTTTCGAATTTTTGATTTTGGTAGAGTTAAGGGATCAGCCGTTTTGGAGTCACAGTGTAGTAGTGGTCTTCGAAAGTAGCTTCAAAGTCGATATATACAGCAAAGGCGACCTGGAGTATTTCTAAAGTGGTACACAGACGACTCTAAAACCCCTGAGGGTATTGGAGCAGGCGTATATAGCCCTACACTGAAACTGGCAGAGCACTTGGGAACCTTCCCAAGCGTCTTCCAAGCGGACGTTTATTCCATCAGTCTATGCGCAGGAAATATAGAAGGGACATTTATAGTAAGTGCTAGTCAGGCGGCACTTATGGCTCTCTCATCCTTCGAGGGCAAATACTCTTTGGTCCTGGAGTACATCGAGAAGCTTAATGCCCTTGATGAGCACAATACTATCCAAGTAATATGTGTAACAGGGCACATGGGAGTCGAAGGAAATAAAGAAGCTGATCAACTAGCTAGACTGGCTGCTGCCTCGACCCCGATAGAACCGGTTAGTCCCAGTACGATAAAGGCGCCTAGAAAGGAAAACGGTAAACTGAGAGCACTGCATTGGCGAAGCATCACGGGACTTTGTCAAGCCAAGAGCGTATTAGGAGGTACAATCTAAAGAGATACAGGCTACTTACAAACCTCCATAAGGAGAGTCTAAGAATTATTACAGGTATTTTGTGGGATCATTGCAGGCTTAGAGGCCACTTGTATAATGGTCTGGTCAAGCGACTTACATATGTCGATTTCGCGACTCCGCCAAAGAGACACCATTGCACCTGAAGTGCGGGGTCGTTTCACGAAGAAGAGAGAGGTGCTTACGATATATATGGCCAAGACAAAAGCACGGAATTTTCTTGTGGCCCATAGTTATACATTACCTTAAGAACGATTCGAATGAATTCATATAAACCATTATCAAAATTTCTAGCCTAATAATATTGACTCACTAGACTCGCAAGTGTCGACTGAGGCTCTATTAATGAAAATATCGAGCTGCGGATATTAAAGCTGGACATTAAAGGGGGTGGCTCAGTAAATATGGGTTCTTCAAATTACTTTTCTTGTAAAAATGCATTGAGATTATGTTGAGTTGATTGTAGACATTAGCTAAAAAGTCGAGTTACCTTAATTTATATATATATTTTTTTGATTTTAAGAAAATCGCATTTATGTATAACTTGAAATTTGTAAAAAAAAAATCGTGGTATAAGTATTTTGTTTCAAATAATTTTACTTTTTATTTATTTTTTCTCTCGCATGCACACGTATGCAACGGCCAACTAAAGCAAGAAAATAATATTATAACTAAAATTTTGTGACTTCAGAATGCTTTAAAAAATGTGAATATAAGTCTAAATGAAAATCTTAATTACAATATGTATGTATTTATGTTTAACATAGCTTCTAATTAAGCTCAAAAATTAATTGCAAATTTTTGTTTCAACTGCAATTTTTTTTTTGCAATGCTGCAAGCAATAAAAACTGATAACATTTCAAAATTTCGTTTGTGAACTGTTGCATCTCGTCTTAGTGGCTAATATTTTGTTTAATATTTTTTTCTTCCTTGTTTTGTCTGCTTTTTCATGATAGTTAGTTTTTCTTAATAGTTCAGCTTTTTTTTAAATATTTTTTATTTTTTTTTGTCATCTCCATACATCTTAAAACTCTTGTTTTTCATCTGCACTAAAAACATTTTTAAAACGTCATTACAAATATGCTTACATAAATCGGTTTGGGTTAGGGCTAGGGTTTTTATTTGGATTTGCCATATTTCACAACACTTTTCCATATATCATTGCTCAGAAGTAACTACATAATTGCTACATGCATACATATGTATTTATGTAAAATGTTTTCATACTCTGCACTTTTAATTTGAGTACCATGTGTTTTAGAAACAGTACTTGGTTTTCGAAAAAAGTTTGCTAAAAATTAGCATTGATGCTAAAAACAGACCCGAAGTAAACAAGTGGCTTCTCAGAAAAATGTATGTATGTCGTCTACTAAACATTAAATATATTTTTATGCATTAATTACTTTAAGCGTTTTCATTTTTCGGGTCTCTTTTTAATTTCAAGTTTTTGTTTTTAATTTTTTCAACTTTATTGTAGCTTTATTGATACTTAAAATTTCCAATAGTTTCTGGTTTTTGCTTCAATCTCGTTTTATTCATAGGTTTCTTATGCATTACTGAACTCTCTACTATCATTCCTAGTTTTAGCGAATATTTCTTCAGACCCTCTATTTCCCTAACAACTTATATTTGCTTTCCTTCTTTTTCGTTTGCTCTCCGAAGATGAGGGGGCGGGTTGGATTTGCTTCACGCACTAAATGTACAATACATATGCAAAAAATTGTGCAATTTACAAATATAATTTGACACTTCTTAAGGTATATGCGATTATCACTTTGTTGGTTTAATTAATTTTCGTTACTTCGTTATTTGCAAATTTAATTTGTTTCAGTAATAATCATAAGTTCATTTTACAAAGTCTATTTAGCACAAGGCTGCAAACATCGTTGTGTATTTGCAGCGTGATTTTTTGTGAATATTTACTTTTCCTGGATGACCACTACGGCATAAATACCCAATTGTGTATGTATGTTGGTATATTACCCATTCAAACAGTGCTTAACATGCTAAGTAGGTAATGTAAAGTATTATAATTATATTATAATCGCATACAATATGAAATGTGTACCTTATAGCTATTGGTTTTATCTTTTAACCATTAATGACAGTATTTTTAAATTTATAAAACGTCTCCTCTTTAGTCTTTAAACATATTTGTACATATAAATGTACTTGACTACCTCAAACAATCGTAATATGTTGATTATATAGTTATCTAAATACTATACAACTAAAGTATAAACTAGTGTAATGTAAATGTATTGCATAATCAAGATAAAGTATCATACAAAACTAAAGCTAAAACTAAACACATTTTAGTATTACAAGAAAATAGTGTTTACATGTATAAAATCATAAAATCATCACATACGATGCACAACTAATTTCATTATCATTCTTTTGTCAGACAAGCTCGCAAATTTCACTTACTTTTTCTTCTCTCCTCTCATTACTGCATTCCTCTTATACGTATCGATGTGCCATTGTTTACTACAGTCAGCGCTTAAAAATATGTTGCACTCATAAAATCAAATGCAGCAAAACTACATTTAAGCGTTTTCCAGTAAAGTGGTTTCATTCTTTATCGGAATACTACACATACAACGGTTTGCTATACTCTACACTTATGCCACAACATGACTATTCTTATTCAAATCGGTTAATAGTACCGCATCAAGATCTTCTGCGTCTAGCAGTTCGGCGCATGCGTCACCGTTGACAACATTTGAAGTTAGCATCAAATTGTTAGCACCTCCCGCTGCTGTTACAACGCCACTACCGCCATTTGTATTCACATGCGCAGCTAAATCGCCATTGACAATGACCAAGCCATCAGGAGAATTTCGACGACGTTCGCGTTCGCGCACAATATGAGGCGCTTCGTTAAATTCATCCAACTCGTCCATGCCTTAAAAAGCGATCTTTAAGAAGAATACCTACATTTCAAGTGTATGCATCACTTACCTGTATACTTATTGCCGGCTAGCAGCAAATACTGTCCCGCACGGTTTGGCCACAACAGGCCAGTCATTACACAATATGCCAGGCAGTCAGCTGAATTGGTGATGCCTAGCAGTAGCTTGTAGCGCCACATGGGACTCACTTGAAGAGCCACAATGGCCACAATGGGCAAGTAGATGAACCACACTAAACTAGAGGCGCCTAGGTGCAATAGGAAATCGAGCTTTTTGGTGGAATGCTCATATTTCATGGTGTTGCGTAGTTCGTAGAGGAACCAAGTCATAAATGATGTGCTAAAGGATAGGGGAAACGCTTAGTAATCGTTAAAAATATGCATTAAATTAAAACAATACCAAAATTATTGCTTTAACCTATACAACTGGACAAACTAGTTTCAGAATCACTTTTACTTCTCTTCAATCTATTCTAAGTAGCAGAAAAAGGAAGGTTATATGTATTCTGAATACAATTTCGGATTTTAAAGTGTGATCAGGTTGCAGAACGTCTGTACTGCAGACCCCCACTATATACAGGGTGTCCGGTGGCAGAATTAGGAATTAAAAGCTAAATTAAAAAAGAATTACTAATGGTAAAAGTTTATTTCAATAACTATTACAAAGAAGATAAGTGCGGATTTTGTTTTTTAAAAATTATTCCTCTAAAAATGTTGACCGTTACGTCGGACACACTCTTCAAATCTGGCCTCCGAGCCACTCGCTGTAACGTGGACAAAATCTACGACGAGCAGTTGCACACTAATCATTGACCTTGAAATACGCTTCGATTGCGAACGCATGTTGTTTACCCGTCCACTGAGACATCGTTATTAAATAACCAGCATGAATGACGAAGCTGACGCTGTCCCCACGCCGCCGATACGCTCAGCGGTTAGGGAGAAACTGTAAATCTAAAACCCAATTCTGCCACCGGACACCCTTTACATTAATCCAAGCCCTGTCCTAATGTTTTCGCGTCTTCGATAGCTTTACAATAAAAGATTTTTATACAGAGATCGTAATACCATTGTAAAGAGTACTTAATGAGTAATCAAATTTAGTGTCAACGACACAAGAGGGCAGTCAGTCTACTTACAAGTCGCCCTTCAGTCAGAGAATGTTTTCATTCCTGCCTCAGGAGATTGATTATTCCAGTCATGAAGTGTGTTTTATGGAACCAAGTCTGATTCAGACCCTTGCGTTGGATTCATAATTGGTAGTATATACTTTATAAACTCTGACCTACCGTAGTATTAATACAATCCAACCTGGCCAGGTTTGGTACTCATCAATGTCTGATATAATATCCACCTCCGTCTGCAAGATAACATTTGAGTATAATATTTTTAAACAAATAATATTACTGATAAACTTACCTTATCCCAAACATAGAGGAACATTTGAAACGCACAATAGGGAACCCAAATACTCATCAAGATTATCCAACCAGTGCGATTAATTTGCTGACGTGTAACGGCCCAGCCTTTAGCCAGCAACAGTAGGATTAACATGAAAGTGGTCTATAAAAATAACAAATAGTCAACAAAAAACTTAATTTATCGGAAATACAAAACCGCAATTATATAACGTACTCTACTAAATATATCCAAAATATCGCCTGCGGTCTGCATGTTTGGCATCCCTACGCCGTTCATGGCGAACTTTATCAAATGCGCTGTAATGAAAACCAAACTGACAAACTCGCTCGCCAGGCTAAGCGTGAAGAGACGTGTAACTGGATGTTTTTGCAAACGCACCGCATATATTTGCATCGGTAGCAGCACCAGATAGACTAGTAAGAAAATCATATACATTTCCAGCAAATTTTGCTGATCGAATGAGAATTGGAAAGAAAGTGGATGCGCAGCAGAATTGTTAGGATGTCCATTGACAACGTATATATCGTAGGTCAGAGCGGGCGAGGGATGAGGTGGGAGCATGTCGTTGTGTGATGCAAGGAATTCGTTAACCACTTTGGCTGCCGCACTCTCACTTTTGGGATGATCATAGGCATGCCATTCGCAGTTAGTGCTATTGCGATAGCAGGCAGTGAGCGCAACATACCAGAATCTGCAAAAGGTGGAGAAGTGAGATTTATTGAATATTTTGTAAAATTAACTTTAAATATTTGGTAAAATATAGACATTAAATACTACGAAACTAATAGCAAATGAACTACAAAGATCTGCCGAGAGATAATTAAGTTCTTCAGAAAGTAAAGAATCAACAGAAATAATATGATAAAAAGTTTAGTGTGTATAAGTACGTATCGCTAGATAAGATAGTCTCTTTTGAAAGTATTGTGAACCTTCTTCAAAATAGTACATTTTTACGAATATGATAGCTACAAGCATTTTAACTTTCAAGGAATTGATAACAAAATAGTGTGCACATACGCAAATACTCACAAGCGGAGGCAATCTAAATAAACACAAAGAGATGTGCAGATAAAGCAACGAAAATTCACACCATAAACTGCCATACAGGCTTTTGCACTCATCTAATTGATTCACTAGCCTCCAGACGAACTTATTTACCCTGTTGTCTGCTGAACTCCAGCTGGAGTTCACTTAACGCTTACACTCTATTTTGCCTTACTTTTCTTATGTCTTCTCTCACTTTTACTTTCTTATTGCAAGTTGAGTTAAACTAGCTTATACGTAATTGTCTTTAAAAGGTGAAAGGAACGCAAATTTTAAACATTCAAATAATAGAGCAGTCCATCATTAGTGATCAGTTGCGTGATCAAAAACCAGCTATGGATTACATATGTATGTACACACATACATATGTATATTATTTTGGGCAAAAGATTTTACGTCTACGCTCCTATCGAATCTCTAATCTACGCGCTAAGACAGGGAGTGTGCAAAGATATCACAAATGGCTTTGATTTAAATTATAAAATTATGTCGTAGCGTGGCCGGTACACGTGTTAGGACTAGTCCACCTCTGTAGAAACAAAAGTTGCTTGGCAGGTATTTATGATATGTGCAATGCAATAAGCAAAAAGCAAGTTCGAAAGCTTCCACAGAATTGCTTAACGCTTCACTACAGCATTGCGAAAAAAACGACACTGGCAATGTAAGCAAATTTAATTAAAATTCTGCGAAATATTACATTTAAGTGCTTCCATTATTTACGTTTGGCTTTGTGCACTTTTCTATTCTTTAAAACACTTGTTCCTCAGATAATTTCTTTATGCTTTCCTTTTTGACTCCGTACACATTTTCCCTATCAACTCATATTCCTCTCCGCCAACTCACTTACCTTGGCTCCGTCACTTCGCTAATGGTGTAGGTGAACTGTTTTTCTGCTATCACATTGCTGGGCGTATCCTCGTCTGCACACAGCTCGCCTCTATTACATGGTACACGTCGCACATAATCGCGTTTACCTTGCTTGTTGCATACGCCGTCATATATCAGACCTTTCAAATGTTCAAACATGTGTCGACAGGCCTTTTCACGATCATCAAATATGCGATTGCTATAGAAATCCACAAAGGCTGCCTTGTCCAGCACCACTAATGAGATGGGATGCGCAAATGTGTCGGTTGCTGTGATGTTGCCGTATATGTAGCCGTAGGAGCCGCCGTGTGGAGTAGGTGCTTCGGCCTTTTGGAAACCAAATTTGGTTATAACTTTGAAAAACTCACCAGTATGGAAAGTCCCTGTTAAATGTATAGCGCTACTATACTGCCAAAGCGCTTGAAAGGCATACAACCAGCTGAGTGCGTTGAGCAGCAGTCGCGGCAATGAGGGCGGCCGCTGCCGCTTCATAATGCAAGAGCAATGTTTTATTTTCCGACTTTTACAATTCGATTTATGCTGTGTTGGCGTTGCGTTTATTGTGCGTTTATGTGTTGTTTATTTTTTTTCAATTTTCAGCTAAAAACATTCATCTATACGAAGTGCTGTTGCAATTGGGCGGAGTATCGCAATGCAGTTTTTTGCTTATACAAGTTTTATAATACGTATCCACATTTATTAAGAGGTTCTTAGTTAGTTTTGCAATACCATTTTGGCGATTTTCACATTTTGTACAGCGCAAAATACTAGTTTCCAAGTCTACTGCTAAAATTTAACAAAAATACACCAGTGCACACACACGCGAAATGAAAATAAAACAGCCTGCAAAAAGTCAGTGCTGTCAAACGACCAAACTTGCCAGATTCTTGTGAATAAGTTGCCTAGAACCCCGTTTACACATGGCAGGGTTTAAAGACGTGAATTTGAAAATTATGTTTTGGTGTTGTTGCTTTTTTTTTGTTCCCACAAACGGCAGAGCTCTTATACCTTTAACTAGCATCATCGGTCAACCTTCCAATGCACGTATATACATGCTGTAGGTACCCGAATACTAAATTTCGTTTCTGAAGACTGTTCTCCGCAAAAGTTTTACTATGTCAACAGGAATGACAGAAAACACAAATATACAAAGCCGAACTGAATGTTGAAAGAATATGTCAGAATAGCCAATTTTCTTAATATTAAATTTTTCGTAAGTAAACGTGTTTTAATTGTGCTATATTGTAAAAATATATAATTTACGATAAGAATTAATAAGGAAAATGTAAAAAAGTGGTATTTTTGTGCAAATATTAGTGAATTTCATTGCATTTAAAGTTTCTGAGGCGTCGTTTACTTGTTGACCAGAATTGTCAAAATCGGCCACAAAGTAGCGATTAAATGAATAAAAAGTTGAACGAAAGTAGACAGCCGACTAACTTCATTGAAACCGATTAGTTGAATGGCCGTTTACACCAGGCGATTATTGATTTCAACCGCCTCATGTAAATTCCCTATAAGCGATATCGCACGATGTATTTAGGTTTTGCCGATTTGTTTTCAATTATCAATTAAAAGTAAGCAACGCTTCACTTAATCGAAAAATCTAGATTTTTCCATAAACATCTTTCAAGCAGCATTTCAAGCCTTCAAACCATACACCATACATAGGATTTCAACTTAAGAGAAATTTCGCCCTTTTTGACAAACCTATTGTGTGGTGTACTTGGCTCTTTAGTCAAAGGCATATAACGGAAATTATTACGCGTTCTTTGTCAAAAGCGAACGGTTTCGAGCAAGGCATATTTTTAGGAAGTTTGGTTATCTGTTAGACTTAACATATTCTACCTATCAAGCTTATTAATTGCGTAATGAAATCTCCAAAAACGTAAATTTTGAGTTACATCTCTATATTATTAAACGTACGATATGTGCTACTTAAAAAACGTAGTCAAAGTCAATCGTATTAAAAGCATGCCCTTGTTATCGTATATCTGTCTTTCGTGTAACTTTTTCTGAACTCTGTGTTGTTGTACGTCCAAAATGTCCAGCAACTGCTGTAAACTACCCCCTATATTATTATTCTTTTTAGGCACAATATCAATAGTGAAGCGCCTCGCCATTGAAAACTATGATTTTGTCACAGTTTTAAATAACATTGCGAAACTGCGAAGTATTGAGGACTTATGATAAAAATAGGGTGTATTAAGGAAAACATAACCAGAACTGGTTGGATATGCCACTTCAATTGATTGAAAAAAAAAAATACCTGCAAATTCCAAGATGATCAAGTGTCAGGCCTAGTACAGGAAGTATCATTTGATACATTGTTGCTAATTGTAAGCACCAGGTAGAACAAAGCTGGAAAGCGCAGTTCTTGGAAAGTTGTATCCATGCTGAATGCCTCCGAGGAGTTTTGCGGGAAAATTATGAAATCTATGAAATACTTCTACACCTTCCGTCCAAATATTCGGTTGAGAAACCGCTGGCGCTGTTTATATATGTAGGTCATACTAAGCCATATGGAATATGACAATGAGGGCTGCAAAAATACTGCGATTGCCTCTGCAAAAGGTAACAACGAGGATGTTTTGAAGAATCTGGAAACTGAGTTGTCAGATTATTATTTTTTCTTTTGTAAATATGTATTTGTTGTAATTTTTTTTAAAGAAATTTTAAACTAATACACTCTGTTGTTTGAAAAAAAAAATTAATTGAAATAAATTAATGTAAAATTTTAAATATTTTTATTTTTATAATTTTTTTTTTTGATTCTTTGATTTTTCTGGGTTGTAAAAAAACCGATTCAAGATATCTAATTACTTTGGAAGTTATTAATTAAGCGCCACTAGCGCAGAAAAATCGTTCACGAACATACCCAGAACCTTAATGCTATAACTCAAAAATACGCTAGTGTAAAACTGGCATTATATAATTCATTTCCTTATTCAATCTACTACTATCAAGTGCAGCTGATTTGCCGCTATTTAAACTTGACGGCGAGATTGTTATTGTTAATTCTATACACTGATTTCTTTAAAAATTTGATTAAAATCTAATTAATGAATTAATCTGATTTGATTAAAAGAATCAGAAACGTTCGGAAATGCATCATAAAAATGTTTGCGTACTGCAAAAAAGAACGTTCGGAAATGCATCACCAAAATTTTTTTTTCGAATAACGGAATGACAAAAAATAAATTAATCATCAAGTGCACCCTGTGAGTTTGCAACCTTGTGCATGCGTTTCCTTTTTGTAAAGACAAAAACCATACAGCTGTGAACTTTGTAGGGTGACGCTTTATTTCTTATTATTTGGCAGTACCGTAAAAACTATAAAATTTCTTTTTACATACTCTTATTGAAAGGCTTCAGGCATATTTAGAGAAAACCTTTTTAATACCATTACAAAACCTCTCACTGTATTAGAGTGGTCTTTGGGGATTTTTGGGTGCCATAAGCTGTGCTTTGAAGTAATTTTCTTTACGTCATCATCAGGCTCAACGCAAGTCGTTTTTATTCGAAATTGTGTTATGCTTGTACACACAACGTACATTGTACATACATATGTATATGAATAAAGTATCTTTTTGTGTTTATGCTTACCCGCCCACAACCCTTAAAAGTGCTTCAAAAGTATTCAAAATTATTTAATCTCTTCGTTTGATCAAGTTTGACCCCCCAACACCTGTGATTGAATGCAATTGTTCGACAAAACTAATGCCATTCGCTTAAGTTAAGGTTGCAAATGCAAATGTACATATGTATGTATAATATAAATTTTGAAATGTATTCACCAAATGATGAATAACTTGTATGGCCTTTTTTAACACAAAGCTTCCGTATAATTTTTGTTATGTGCTTCATAAACTTTGGTGGCAGTTTTGCCTTTTTGATCACATAATCAACCCTCGTTCGCTACTGATTGTATTCCCAATGGAGTTGAAATTTTTGAACAAAAATATTTTTAATGCACAGCTTTTGGAGATTTGGGTCTGCTTTTTTATGCTGGTTGAATAGTTGGGAAGCACGACAGATAAAGAAGAAGACGTAATTTGAAAATGGGTTAACCTCAGCACGAATCCCCGAAGACGAAAAATTTTCTATGGGGGTGAAGTAAACTGCTGCTTTTCGACGTTTTTTTTGTATACACAGGGTTCCTAAACCACCTGTACACTGTGCATAAAAATGCGTAAAGTTTGTTTGAATTTTTTTCGCGGAAGTGCCTTTTTTAACTTCTATATTATCTTCGAAGTTTAAGATTTCCTGGACTGCTAAAATTGACGAATATGTTTCTCTTCGGAAAACGTAAAAAATACGAACCACCAGAAAGTGGATGATTTATTTTTTGGTCGTATTTCCGACATCCGATTTCAAACGGAAGAGGGTTAAACTGTGTTTTACGACAGACTCGGATTTTGGTAAAAAAATTCATTTCGGGTCAGTTTAACCCATTCCGGTCAAAACCGAAACTCGGTAATATGACCAAAAGATAGAGCATCTCCGACCTGATAGTTCATATTTTTGCATTTTCCAATAAAATAACATTTTGCTCCATTTTAGAAGGGATGAATGGGTGGTCTTAGACACACTGTATATGGAATTACCGACACCATGAACAGATTTTAATACTAGAACCCAGATAGGCCGCATTTCCTGAAGAGATTACGCCTTTTTTGCTATTTAGTTGAAAAATCTTTTAAAATATTTCTATATTTTCAATCTAACCCAAAACTTTTTATTTGTGAATTATTAAACCCTGCGCCAACACAACAGACAATTCAGCTATTCAAGCCTGATAAATTGAATTTCTTTTGACTAAGAATTTCCAAGACAAAGTTAAGAATTGTTTGCTCGTTCCAAATGTCAGCTTGTAGAAGCCTAAAAGTGATTGTTAATTTATAGCTGTCTACACTATTAACACAATATTAACTTCTTGTCACACTAACATACATTCATACGAGTTACGTGAGGTATTTACACTTGCAATTAAAGCATTCGTACATTTATCACACCAACTAATGGATGGACATATACGCATAGTTTTGAAAGGACCTCTGATACAAAATTTGTACAATCTTACATATGTACATATAGTCTTCTCAACTTCATACCAACTTCTTCAAATGCCCTCTAACCCAAAAAAGCAACAAAAATTCCAGAGCCAAAATTAAGTGATACAACCGACCTTCTGACATTCGGTGACACATTGTGTTTGAACCTATAACCCGATTTTCCGTACACGAATATGACCAAAGCTGGCAGAAATACGAAAAGTGGTTGCAGCCAACAGCACCACCGACTGATTGAAGCAGGAGGAGGAGGAGGAGGAGGACGTGTTTTGTTGGTGGTGAGCATATCATAAATATTTGCCAAGTGACCCATTCGTGCGGAATGCAGCACAGCACAGCAAAAGGATTGTTTTAATTGTTTCAAAACTTACCCAAAAGTAGGCAAGCAAACGCATACACACACAGTCACACAAAAACATA